ACCCACAGAAAGTATGGCCAAATCTTTCATGATGATATTCTGTTAATGGAGGATAGCAACTGATGAGCTGAACAGACGGGAAAGCCGGAATACGTTAGACGCATGACATCATGGGATGAGGTGAAAATATATAAAATATATTAAATAAATGTGCCAGACCAAGAAAATGCTGCATATAATACAGGCTTCTGAACTTATGCATGACACAGCCTTCTGTCATGCCTTTCAATGAATGATTAACCTCACCGCATCATGTGGCACATCCTTAACTAATGCCAGTTAGTTCCTTCAAGGGTAGCAGGGGCCAGCGGATGCTACCACCATTCCGACCAACTTGTCGAAGAGAACCACTAATCTTCCCACGATCACTGTTGCAAGTCTGCCTATTATTAGCACGGCAAACAATGACTTCCGTATACGCATAACTCTACTTGATTATTTTACTTCACGGTGTCTCGAAACTATCACTGCTACACGCCTTTCGCTTTACGCTTTTCGTTAGAACAGGCTTATTAGCGAGATGCATCGTTAACCGCATGACCGAAGTGAGGCGCAAACGGAGTCCAGCGGTAGGGGTTTGCTGGTTGACAGAGTTTACGAATAAACTGTTTGAGGAACACGGGATAGAAGCTGGTCTCCACGACCATTGTACAAGGTAATAAGCTGCCAACCACAAGAGGCGAACGCATCAGACAGCATGATCGTATACATCGACCATCCGGGCATGGTTACCTCAGAAAGCCAAACTGTTCTAGTTGCTTCCAGGTCAATGACTCTCGGCAGTTTGTACCACCACAACGTTGGGTAAATTCTTTACTCAAGGGAATTTGTGGTTAACACAAAGACTGTTCCCTTTATGCACGCGAGTGCAGCACGTGCGAAGTTCGAAGCCGCCTCCTTTCCATCGCACATGTGCATTAGAAGTCGAGCGCCTTTAACCGCACGAAAAAAAAGAAAAATATTTCGAACAGTCAGAACAACGATCTCCCTCGATTTCCCAGGGGGCTGTGATGTCTGTGACACTTTATTCGAAGAGTTTATAGCGCGGCGCCCATCTCCGTTCTAGAACTATTCTTACGTTTCAATACAGTATTCGCCCAAGTGTAATCTTTCGCTTTACACTCGAATCAAATGTACCGTTTTGTGTACCTCGATGGAAAATGAGTGACTCGACAGGGATGGAATCGACGATTATTTTACTGTGAGTTCTGCCAGCATGCTACCGACTGGGCAGTCGGTCAGCATATGGTCAAACGGAAAACGGTTAGCTAGATTCCGTACTGAGAAGAGGGTCATTCGTGCCTGTCAACGCAGGCAACGCCTACGAATCACTCCAACCGTGTGACGGCTATCTCCTACCATTCAACGCCGAAAAACAAGCTGTCTACAGCATGCTGCGTACACGCAAGTCCGCGCGGTAGAAACGAACGGGCAAATGGTTCGTTTTACCTCAGCGCAGCGCAATCACATGTTCAACGGAGTTAAACTCACTCATCAATATGATAGTTTGTTATATTGCAGCAAGCATAATGCAGAGCTAATTCAGAATCATATTTCACGGTGTGCGGCACCGTCCT